CCCAGGAGGCAGAGGTTGCAGTGAGCTGAGATTGTGCCACTGCACTCCAGCCTGGGTGACAGAGTGAGACTCTGTCTCAAAAAAAAAAGAACAAGAAAAAAAAGAAAATGAGAAGGTAAAAATATGACTTAATGTTGATAGAATGTCATATTTCTTTTCCACTTAGATTAGTTTTCTACAGTAGCTAATTTGTCTACTAATTTGTCTCATAGGTTAATAGTATTCTAATCCATATAGAGATAGATACAGAAAAGTATTGACCACATTATTTTCGCCACTTCACAGTAAGTGCAGGCACTAAAACTTGTTTTAGAATGCCAAACCTCAAACTTGAGACCCAGTAGATCCTGTGGCCTCTCAAGCTGCCTTACTTAAAATAAACCCAGCTGAGTGGGTGGCCTTTAATGATGCCGTAACCCTGTGTTTGCTTGTCTGTCTTTACTGCCAGATGATGAGCTCCATGAGTACAGGCTCTTGTTTATCCTCAGACCCTAGGCCAGGGCCTTGTGCACAGAAGATGCTTACCTCGATCTCTTTACTGGCCATTTTCTGCAGTCCCGCAGAAGTTATATACCTTCAAAGTTATATCCCAAGTGAACACATCCTTTCCCTCAAGTCACCCAGCCCCAGATCTGGTCCCCTTCCCCTGTTCAGTCATCCCAGAGAATGGCCCCAACAGGAATTTGCGCAACTCTCTGAAGTCATACCATTACTCCCCAGCCTTGTTGACTATGCCTCAGCCACCCCAGGCTTCTTTCCATTCCTCAACTGTGGCAAGTCTATTCTCACATCACAGTCTTTGCATCCATTCCTTCTCTGGAATGCTCCTTCTCTAGATCTTTCTCTAGCTGACTCCTTCTCATCTTTCAGGTCTCAGCTGTCCTCCTGAGAGAGGTCTCCCCTAACTATACCAGGCCAGTTGGTTCCCTTTCAGTCACTCTCCACGCCACTTCCAGCTTTATTTTCTTCATATTTCTGATCACTATTTACTTAAGCAATAGTTAATTTGCTTTACTGTCTGTCTCCATCTACTAGAACATAAGGTCCATGCAGACAGAGATATAATCTGTTCTGTTCACCACCATATGCACAGCACATGGAATAATGCCTGGCTATAGTCGATGCTCATAAGCATTTGCTGGACATAGATGAATGGAATATCATTTAGTATGTTGGCCATCATTAGGTCAAAATCCACCTAACTGCTCAGCTAGAAATTTTACGCTATCTCTCTTTTTCATTATCCTGTAGTGATACCTCATTATATTTTGTCAATCCATTTACATAAGCAACTCTCAAATCTTCCCATTTTCTCCATCCCTACTGCCTTTATTCTAGGGATGGCCACAGTCATCTCTTTCCTTAATTACTCAGTCTCCTCAAGATGAGTCTCAAAGCCTCAGTCTTACTCCCTTATCTTCACCCTACTCCTACCTTGCGATCTGTTTCTCATGCTGCAGTCAAAGTGATTTTCTGAAACCACGAATTTGATCTGATCTCAACATTCTGATGTTTAAAATATTACAGTAGCTCTCCACACTTAGGATAAAGTCAGAATTTCATTTCATGGTTAACAAGGTCTGGCCTTTCCAGACACTTTTCTTGTTATCCCTATTTGTTACTTATGTATCCTTGAACGTGGCATTCTTTCTTGCCCTAAACCTTCACACCTGCTATTTCCTCTACAGGACCTTTCTATCCTCCCTGCATGAACCTACTCCTTCCCCTTGTTGACTGTTTAGTCCTTGCTTAAATGTCACTTTCTCAGACTTATCCTAATCCCTAATGTTTCTTAGGCCCCCCTGAAGTATGCTCCCATGGTACCCAATATTTTCAACATGTCAGACTGTTGTACAATGGCTTACTTTCTTGCCTGTATTCTCTACAAAACTGGAAGCTTAACATGGGTATCTTATCTCTGTTTTGCAGCATTTAGCATGATGCTGGCACAGAGTAGGTGCTCAACAAATATTTCTTGAATAATGAATGATGAGTTTGATAATAAATGAATAAGAATCACTGTAGTTGAATATTTTGCACACCATTATCTGATTCTTATAAATATAAATCTCCATGTTGCTTTGTGACCAATGACATTTGTATTGTGAACACCTGCATTTCTTAACAGGGTGCTGGAACTGATGAGTTTACTCTGAACCGAATAATGGTGTCCAGATCAGAAATTGACCTTTTGGACATTCGAATAGAGTTCAAGAAGCATTATGGCTATTCCCTGTATTCAGCAATTAAAGTAAGTCTACTTTTAAAAATAGCAAAACATATTTTGCCCTTCTCTACCCATCTCCTTACTCTTATATTCCTTAAAATATAAAGATATATGACTTAGATTTCTCTCTCCTTGTCAATGCATACATGTGTTGTCTGAGCTTAAAACAGTAGCTGCAGTGTCCCTTATTTTCAGCTCTAAAATCCCAGGCATATAATAGACACTCAATATTTTTTTGGGTGTACTAGCCACTAATTTTTCTTCTTCTGTGAATTACATATGCAAATTGTTTACCTGTTTTTATATTGTACCGTATGTATTTATTTCAGTCTTTATGATAATGTAAGTAAAGAAAAATATGTATTTAAAATTTCCTCTCTGTTTTACATGAGACAGCATGGTTCTGCAGCTTAGAGTGCTTCTCATTTCAGTATATAGGAAACTTTCTCATTTTATTTAATAGCTGTATATCATTCCATTGTTTGTGTATTTGTACTCACCATAGCAAACAGGCTTCCAGTTTATTGCTATTACAAACAATGTTGTATAATGCATACACCACTTCCTCAGGTACGAATGTATCTTTATGAATTCTCAGAAGTAGGATTGCTTAGACAGATGTAAATGCATTTAAAATTTTGACAAATATTACCAATCGAATTCCATTTTGCAATTCCATGGGGAATGTATGAGTCTTTCTTTCTCCATAGCCTTGGCACAGAGGGTATTTTCAAACTTTTGGGTTTTTAAAACATTTTTTAGAGATGGGGTCTTGCTCTGTTGCCCAGGCTGAAGTGCAGTGGCTGTTCACAGGTGTGATCATAATACATTGTAGCCTAGAACTCCTGGGCTCAAGCAATCCTCCTGCCTTAGCATCCAAGTAGCTGGGACTATAGATCAACTTTTGGGTTTTCATAGTCTGATAGGTGAGGAATTGTATCTCAGTGTAGTTGTAATATACATTTTTCTTAGTATAAGTGAGACTGAGTATATTTTCATGTTTTAAATAACATTTGTATTTCTCTTTCTGTGATCTGTCTTTTTACATTCTTTGTCCACATTCTTTTGGGTTTTTGTTCTTTTTGGTCAGTTTCTAAGACCTTTTACACATAAGGTAGACTAACCTTTTGTCTGGTCATATTTCCCAGTCCGTTCTTTGTCCTTTGACTTGGCCGAATGTATTTTTTTCCAAGCAGAGGGTGCACATCTGGTTTAATTAAATTTATCAATTTTTACAGTTTTTTTTATTTTTTAAAAAATCTAATCCCTTCTGTTTCTTTCATTCTGGATAAGCATCTTCCTAAAATGGGCTCCTTCCTTTCTGTTTTAAAGCATGAAAACCATTTTCGTTGTTTTCAGATCTCAGTTGATATATTATACATAGAAACTTCAAATAAGTTACAAATTATTTGAATTAATAAGGCAGTAAGGCTGACAAATTGTACAAGAGGCTTCTGTACCTTAAGCTCATGGTTCAAAAGTCATAGTCCCAACAGGAAGATGGCAACTAGTTAGTGGTGAACTAAGGAGCTAGCCCCGCACCTGCTCAGCAGCCTTCCATTGATTTACTTTTCTACCTCCGTGCTCCAGACCACCTATGAAAGTCTCTAGTAAATGAGTGATAGAGAGTGTTAGTCCAAGCTGGTTCCCTGGAACAAAGTGTAAGCTGAGATTGGTGAGTGGAGCAATCCACAGTCCTTGCCTCCAAGGCCACACTGACCAGGGGAAAAGATAGGGTTAGGGCTGTCTTCACAGAGGACTTGCAGACTATGCAGACCTCTCCATCTCTTTGCTGCTCCATCTACCCTTGAATGTCTTGGGGAAATCAGCACTAGAGAGTGTTGGACCCAGGTGGACTCTCCAAGGTCTAAGCTGAGAGTGGGTCCTAGAAGGTGATCCAGGATGAAGAGGGAAGCAGCAGCCAAGCAGAGAGTGTTTGCTCTGAGCACTGAGGGTCCAAAACTGGGAATGGAGTCTATGCTGATTAGATACCCTAAGCTGTGGATCATTATGCACCATGGACATCCTGGGTAGCTCCCAGCAGCACCCTCTCTCAAGCCCCTACAAGGCTGGAGCCCTACCTCTGTGAGGGAGCTTGCACCCAGTGATGGCCCCTGGGGACACCTGGCTTAGACCACATTCCAGTGTCACTGCCAGCAGCTGGAGTCTTTGGTCCAACCTTCACTATGGCCCTACCCGCAATAGCCACCCTTGACCAGGCATAAATATTAACCTGGGTCTTTCTGCAGCTATCTTGGGAAGGTTCCTGCCTCTGACTTTACAAATGGCTTATGAATGAATGAATGAATGAATGAATGAATGAATGAACATCAATCAGTTAACTAGATTCATTCACTAAAATCTTTCTCTTTTTAATCAGAGTTTTTGTTTTTGCACTAAACTTTTACAGAAAGAGATGCTGAGATGCATGAATAAGTTGAAATCAGGAACTTACTTAAAAAGGCAGTTCTCAGACTGTGCCTGGGGCTTAGCACAAATTGCATCAACTGCTCACACTCAATTCTATTTGAATCAGTCCTGACACATCACAATAGTTTCAATCATCAGAGAAAGATTCAATAACGTTAACCATATTGTAGCTACTAAGGCAGAAAAATAGACTCACACATTTTCTAAAGATTGTCAGTAACAAGGTTGAGACATAAAGAGGGCTTTCAGTTCACCCTCAGCAAAGCAGAAAATTAAATTAACCAGTGGCTTTCCATTCCCCAATGGTCTGGGTAATTGAGGCTTATTGTATTAGAAAACATTTAAGCTATTTGTAATTGATAGAAAAGAAAAATCCATCACTGAAAACTTCAGTTTGCAATTTGAAATAATATAAGATTTCTTTATTTCTACTACCTAACATATATTATTAAGTAATCTCATTATAGTTTTGCTATTGATGAACAGAATCTTTTTAGATGGTTGTTTTTGAAATTCAGGGGGTAGAGTTCCATTTTGCATATTATCTCAGCCTATAATCCTGCCTGTCTTCTTCCTTCTACCCATTGTTTAGACATTTCTTTGTCCATTGACACCTTTCTCAGGGGGTGACTGGTGGAAAGGAGAAGACAAGGAAGAACAGAGGTGAAAACCAGTGTGTACCTCTTATTACTTGTTAAGAAGATGTTATGGAAAATTTAGATGAAATTATGTTTTCTGGTAGTTTTCCTTGGTGGACAGATTCTGTGTTTACTTAATAAATAGCACAATTCCAAGTTGTTTGTGGGAAAATATAGTAGCCACTCACAATCAACTCATAATCTATGTGGAGACCTGAGGTAGCTATAAAGAAACAATTGGAAGATAATAATTGAAACAACATACAATTAGATACTAGACTGTTGAGTACAGAGCTAGTAATATCGGAATTGAGAAGAAAAGACGTTTGGGGTTAGAGAAATGGGTCTTGAGCCTGCCTTTCAGGTGAACAAGCATGTGTTGAGTGTCTCCTATGGGCCAGGTACTCTGCTGGAGCATTTACCTTTAAGACCCCAGGTCAATAGGGTCTTAAAGGTAAATGCTCTAGAAACAGGTATGGGAAGAGGCAAGAGGGAAAGAAGTAATAAGGCACTTGTTTGATTAGAGGGTCCACCTTGGGGAATATTGAGAAATAAAATCCAAGTAGCAAGATGAGTTCAGTTGAAAGAGAGCTTTGAAATCAGCAAATTCATTCATTCAATTAAAAATATTTATCAAATGCATATTATGTGCTAGGCTCAGGGTTATAATTATAAGCAAAGGGATGGGGTGGAGGAAGACATTTTCTGCCCTTATGGAATTACAACTATGTTTAATGTAAAGGAAAGCGACATTGTGCTAAAAGATCCTATAATAGGAGGACTTTTACAGGAAAGGCTTCTATGAGAAAGTCATGATTCAGATCTGGAAAATAAGTAGATATTAATAAGGCAAAAGTTATGGAGGTAAGGGAGCCAATAGAACACTCTAATAAAAGAAATGACAAATAGAAAGGCCTCATGGTGGAGGAAGCATAATGAAAAATGAGGATGTAGGGGCCAGATCATGCACGATCTTTTTGGCAATGTTTAAGGAATTTTGGCTTTAGCTTAAGAGTAAGGGGAAGCCATTGAAGAGTTCTGGGCATGAGCTCTTGAAGAGTTAGTATCAGGATCATGAAAAGATCCCTGTGAGATCTTCTTATTCTGGAGAATAAGAAGGGCTCAAAGGATATTTAGGAGCTAAAACTTAAGGGACTTGGTATAATATCTTGGTGTGAGGAAAGGAAGGTAGCAAGGATGACACTCGAGTTCCTAACTTGGAAAACAGATAGTGGGGCCATTCCTTGCAAGAGGATCAGGTTTTAGGGGTTTTTTTACTTTTCTTTTTGGGGAGTTGGGGGAAGTTTATGAGTTTGGCTTTACATGTGTTGAGTTTGAGATGTCTTTGAGCCCTGTAAGATATGTGGAGAGGTCAAGTAAGTCATTAGTGGTATGAAATATA